AACTTTAGTACGCGGAGTATCTGGGGAGCTGGAAGATGAGAACTGGCGACTTTGTAGTACAACTTTAGTACGCGGAGCAAGCTGTGGAGCTGGAAGCTGAGAACTGGCGACCGTGTAGTACAACTTTAGTACGCGGATGGGTCATCTCTCGCAGCTGAGTCATCTCTCGCGGCTGCTCTGGCGCCCCTGCAGCTGAGTCATGTCTCCCGACCACCCGGCTCTCTTGCGAGGTTGACAAATTTTAGCTACTTTGCTTACTTATAAGTGGCTGCCACAAAAGAGTCATCGTGACGTTAGTATGTGTGTACTTCACCTTCATGACAAACGATGTTCGCTTGGAATACACGAGTCGCTTGTCATGATCGTGACGTCGTTTACTCTCGTGGAAACTTCAGTGTGAAATGTACGTCCTTCAGTTCTATTTGCTGCCGTTGCATCGACGCATCTACGTCTACACCCCCTCACCTCTCTACATTTACATCTTCACACGCTCACATCCGCAGATCTACCTCTCCACCTCACCACACCCACACATCTGCACATCTATATCACATCTGTACATCCACACTGTCGCTCCTTCACATCTGTCCTGTCTTTCTTTCTTTCTTTCTACATATCTTTTCTATCGCCTCTGTACATTTACATCTTCGCACGCTCACATCCACAGATCTACCTGTACACCACCATACATCTACACATCTATATCATATATCGCACCTGCACATCCACACTGTCACTCCTTCACGTCCACCCTCTCTTTCTCTCTGTCTATATATCTTTTCGACAGTGCTGGACAATCACATGTCTCGCTCTCGGGCCAAGCGTCGTCTAGTGTTTTAAACATATCAAGTAGAGACAGACAGGCAGACACGGACAGACACAGACAGACACGTAGAGAACAGACAGAGACAGAACAGAACAGACCAGAACAGACCAGAACAGACCAAGACAGACAGACAGACAGACAGACAAAACAGACAGACAGACAGACCGAGGGAGGAAGGGAGAGAGAGGGAGAGAGAGGGAGAGAGAGGGAGGGAGAGGGAGAGAGAGGGAGGGAGCAAAGCTTTTGCACGGCTAGACAAAGACATTTGAATTTGAATTGGCGTGCTTGAGGTACAGACAGCATTGCTTTGGTATTGCTGGCACTGGAGGCTGTCCCCCACAAGGCCAAAATGCTGCACAAGCACTTCAGGAAAATTCTCAAGAGTATGAACAAAGGTATAGCCAGCTGCATTGTGATTTGACCAATGGACTTCTTAAAAAGAGGGTCACTTTCCATGAATGCGTCGTGTGCAACCAACTTTTGCTGGACTGGTGACTTCTGACAGGGCACGAAGCTGCCTTGAGCAAAGCTCTGGAGATGGCCCGTGAACTTCGAAAGATGGGGGAAGAGAGAGCTTTGGTGCTGTACAAGGTGCCTTGTGAGAGGAAGTCGATGACGCTTGCAAGCATGCGGCACAATGTCATTCAATTTCACATAAATACTTGCCTGGTTTTCTTTTTTCGCCCTTTTTGATAAGGTTGATCGAGCTTGTGTTTCATGTTCCGCAGCTATTTGGAGAGAGTCTTAGAGTTGTTGCCATTATTTACCCAAGCCAGCCATGTCGGTGAAGCCAATTCGCGAGCATGCTGGCAAGAGCTTGTTGGAGAAGCTTCTGCCCGAAATCTCTGGTGGGAAGCACAAGATGGGTCACGCTGGAGTTCTTGTGACACCAGCAGTGTTGGATTCAACCAGCAGCCAGACGTGGGATGGAATCCTTGAGGCAAACCCGTGGCTGAAGACGACCAACTTGGTTGCCAAGCCCGATCAGCTGATCAAACGTCGTGGCAAGGCTGGCCTCATTGCAGTGAACAAGACCTTTGACGAGGCGAAACAGTGGGTGATGGATCGCATGTGCAAAGAGCAGAAGGTGGAACACGTGACCGGACAGCTGACGCACTTCCTCATCGAACCTTTCGTGCCTCACAAGCAGGAACAGGAGCACTACATTTGCATGCTGTCACATCGATACCATGATGAGATCCTGTTTTACCACGAGGGTGGAGTTGATGTGGGAGATGTGGATGCCAAGGCAGAGCGCATGGAAATCCCAACTGGAGAGGCATTGACAGAGGCAGCTGTCACTTCGAAGTTGCTTACAAAACTTGCAGCTGCAAAGAAGGGAGGCATGGCCTCTTTCATTTGCAGCCTGTACAAGTTCTACATGGACTTGCACTTTGCATACTTGGAGATCAACCCTTTGGTCATGTTGGATGACAACACAGTGGTGCCGCTCGACATGGCTGCAAAGATTGATGAAACGGCGAACTTCCTGGCTGCGCAGAAGTGGGGTGAGCTTGATTGGCCGCCTCCCTTCGGCCGCGCAGCCTACCCTGAGGAAGCTTTGATCCGTGACATGGACGGCCGAACCGGTGCCTCATTGAAGCTGACCATTCTCAACGAGAAGGGCCGTGTGTGGACCATGGTTGCTGGAGGTGGTGCTTCCGTTGTGTATGCGGACACAGTGGCTGACTATGGCATGGGTCATGAGCTTGCCAACTACGGTGAGTATTCTGGTGCTCCTTCTACTGAAGAGACCTTTGTCTATGCCAAGACCCTGCTGTCCCTCATGATGAAGTACAAGCACCCGGAAGGAAAATTCTTGATTATTGGTGGCGGCATCGCAAACTTTACCGATGTGGCTGCGACATTCACCGGGCTCATCAAGGCACTGCAGGAGTATGCGGATGACATCAAGGACAGCTGTCACGACTTACAGTATTGGACCAACAGTTGGAATATGTTAGAATAACATCAATGAAACACATGACATGAATTAGGATCTACTGTAACTCACTAAGGCGGAGCTGGTAAAAATAGCACTTGGAATGAGCATGCAGCTAGATTATGCTGGAAGGCTGGAGCCACAGTTGAATCAACACCACAGAAGACCATAGCGCAAACGCACACCTAGCGGGTTTCCTGGCGACACCTTGGTGATGTTGCCCGATTCTCTTGCGAGCGGCTGTTAAAATTTAACAAAAGCAAACCGAGCACGGATCGCATAACTCATCAACCAGCGTTTACTAAGCAAAGCATGCACTATCTTTTGGCACCTCCTCATCAAAAGAGAATCATCGAGAAGCTAAAGATGCATCGCTCTTGTTCTGCATGTCTCTTCTATATTCTAAGTGCATTGTTGTAAATTCTAAGTGCATCTAAGCTCCGAATTACATTTTCAGATTCTAACTACATTCCTAATTCCCTATGTTGAATTCTAACTGTCTGTCCGGGATAGACTGATTCCAATATGTTACAGTACTGGTCATCAAAAGCCAGCATATCGATTATCACAGAGGACTTTCAGCAGCATACTGCATTTTTGAGCCTTGTGCACCGTCAAAGCTCATTCCAAATCAGCTCCAAACTCTCAAGCCAAAACATATATAAATAAATATGTATATATATATAGAGAGAGAAACATGTGGAAAACCATTGGAAAACACATGTGCAGCCAACAACTTCACACACACACACAATTTAGTATTGGAAGGGACACTGGGCGGCCAAAAATTGCATGAAACTTGCAGAGACAAGGGACCCACCAAGAGACTGAAACCTTCCCACCACCAATTTTGATGATGTCTTTGGGCTATACACATAATTAAACTAGGTCACGCCCGCTGCAACAGCCCTGCGCGATTTGCGCGTTCTCACATGCATCTTCGAGTCGTTTTTCACAACCCCTCTGGCACTTTATGGCGATGCTTTTTTAGGTCAATGTCATTTTGAATGTGTTTTTACACCACAAAACGCCTCTCAAATCGTAACTTCATTGTGAAATGACAGTGCGTTCGGGGACCCGGAAGTTAAAAAACGGATCTTTAAACGCTTCTCTTTTTTTTCATGAAACCTTAACACACTTCCACTCCCTCAGGCGTGCCACTCCTTTTCACGCGTTCCACTCCTTCTGCGCCATCTGACCCAACTTCTGCAGTTGGTGCTTAGACGGTGTAATACAGCGCCACACAAAGCTATACATATATTCTTAGATCTGTGCATTCAACCCGCCATTGGTAGCATCAACTTGGTTTGCAAGTGCAAGCGAATGTTAACAGACAAAATCACCACCCCACCCCACTCCCAACGTAGCATCAACTTGGTTTGCAAGTGCAAGCGAATGTTAACAGACCCCACCCCATCCCCACCCCACCCCATTCCCAACGTAGCATCAACTTGGTTTGCAAGTGCAAGCGAATGTTAAGACACCCCACCCCATCCCCACCCCACCCCATCCCCACCCCATTCCCAACGTAGCATCAACTTGGTTTGCAAGTGCAAGCGAACGTTAACAGACCCCACCCCATCCCCACCCCACCCCATCCCCAGCGTAGTATCAACTTGGTTAACGGGGAAAACGCGGAAATTCTCCGGGGCCGTTCGGGGGGGTGTGAGCTTAAACTAAGTGTCTTGCGCCGTCGATGCTTGGGGCAAGTCGCAGTCAACACCAGGAGAACAAGATCAAGATCTTGATTCGTCGTGCAGGCCCCAACTACCTGGAGGGCTTGCGCAAAGTCAAGGCAGCAAGCGACAAGTTGGGCCTCGGCATCAAGGCAGGATACAGCACAGCCCAATCCTTTCGAAGCCTTTCAATTGTCAGAGGATAAAGTCGAGTTCCGCAACTGCGCAGGATTCCGCAACTAGGATTCCGCAAGTGTTTGGTCGGATTCCGCAACTGGGATTCCGCAACTGGGATTCCGAAACTAGGATTCCGCACCTAGGATTCCGCAACTAGAGTTCCGCAACTAGGATTCCGCAACTAGGATTCCGAAACTAGGATTCCGCAACTGCCAAGATTCCGCAACT